TATGAAAGAACAATAGTTTTCAATTAAATAACATCTACTTACAGTGAGAGAACGTGGCCCTGAAGCCAACATCAGTGCCTGAACTGTCCGAGACAAATTTGACCCACAGGACATGTCCAACAGTGGATGTATAATTTGAAGGCAAAGAGTTCCCACAGAATCGTCCTGCCAGTCTGCCTGTTTCGTTCCCTTCACGAATCTCCAGATAATCTTTGGTGCAGCCACTACTGTCTTCCACCTGAAATGCTCTGTTTTAATAGCAGTAGAAGAGCATTAGCATGAATATGACTGGCACATACTTCAGAGTGTGCCCCACCAGGCCACTAATCCCCCTGTAGCTGGTTATCCTACTGGAAGAGTTAAGAAGAGGGCAGCAACAAAACCCTCATCATCTGGCAAGGCCACTGAGACAGGGCTCTCTCCTAGGCCCTTATTTTATGACAGAGCTTCAGTTTGCAAAGTTATAATTTCAAAAGAGTTCTCAAACCCTTGTAATATTTTTTGGTTCTCCAACAACAACCACAAAACACAGAAAGCCCTGATACATAAACCAGAGTTTTAATATAAACCCAGGTCAGACTATTTACTGAGTGCTGGGTGCAGAGAATATTTTAGCTTTACAAATCAGTTTGCAGCCCCTTCATATGTGTGTTATTTCAGTACACTCTCTGGTGAGAAAACAATTGCCAAGGCCTAGATTCATTTGTAGTTAACACCTTGGAGCTCAGAAATCCCTGAGCAGTTTCTCCAGAATTATAAAATGTTTCTGTTTCTCTGGCCTCTCAGTTTCACGTAGCTGGGTGTGCAAAATAATAACAAGGATTGTTATGAACTCTTCGAAATTATTTTTTACCTTAAAAAAGAAATGGAATTTAGAAATCAAATTATAAATTCTTAATTATTGCAGCATGCTGAATGGTAAATATATTTTTTAAGTCATTATCAGGTATCCTAAGTGAAATGCTTTTATAAAACTCTATATGCTTTTCAGAAGCAGGCTATGAATATGTAGTAAAGATTCCAGAGAGTCCCTCTTATAACCAGTACCTCAAATATTTGTGCCTTCTGATTTTCTGGTAACAACTTCTCCCCTTCAGACCTGAATATAGCCATATGTGTTCAGTGTACACATGCTGTGAAAATGTTCCAACCACTCATCTGGATGTACTTCAGAAAAATTTAAAGCTAACTTTCATATTGCAAGGCAGGCATTTCACTGCAGACTGAGCTGAACAAAAATGAATGCCTCATGCCAACACAACTTTATAACCCCCATTATTAAATTAAATAAAATAAATACTGCTTTCTGACATGATTACTCCGTGCTTTCCAGTATTTTCAGCTTGCCTTTCAGCTATGTGTAACTGAAGAAAAGAGTTTACATCTACTCAGTGTCACTTTATATAAGTAACTGTATGTTCTGCTGAAGGTTTCTGCTTCACACTAGATTTCTGGTTTGATTCTGAAAATTTGTTATTCATTATTTTCTAGCATTTTGGAAAATGTTTTCAGGCTGTAGTACTTTTTCTCTGCTTCAATGAGTAAAGCAGGAAGAGAATGTCCTTTTAACTGCATTAGTGAATCGGCACATGTCTAACATGTTTTACCTTATGCAGTCAGTGTGTTACCAAGAAAATTTTCCTTTTGTCCTGATTAACTGAAAGTGCAGGTTCCAGAGTTAGTTTTCTTTCCCTGCTAATTCTTGATAAACTTTGCAAAAGGTCATTGCTTTCTTTCTTGGCAGTAGCCACTGCTCGATGCCCAGAAACAGAGGCTCAGAAATTCACATCATGGGTAAAGAACAACCTAATGGCCCTGGTAAAGGATTCCACATTGTTCTGTGAATCACGTATGACTTTCCTGTCATAAGTCTTCAAAGGAAAGTTAATTTTCTGAAGGGAAAACAAAATTCCCTGGCCTCTGTTGTACCTCCACTGCTCTAACTACCGGAGATATTTTGAGGAGTTTAATATCAGTTTTAGAATCACAGAATTATAGAATGATTTGGGTTAGAAGGGAACTTAAAGATCATCTCGTTCCCACCCCCTGCCATGGACAGGGACACCTCCCACTAGACCAGGTTGCTCAGAGCCCCATCCAGTCTGGCCTTGAACACTGCCAGGGTTGAGGCATCCATAACTTCTCTGGGCAACGTGTGCCAGTGTTTTACCACCCTTACAGTAAAGAATTTCTTCCTAACACCTAATCTAAACCTACTTTTTTTCAGTTTAAAGCCATTACCCCTGTTCCTGATGAAAAGTCCCACTCTGGCTTCCTTGCAAGCCTCCTTCAGATACTGGAAGGTTGCTATGACATCTCCACACAACCTCCTTTTCTCCAGGCTGAAAAGCACCAACTTTAACAACCTGATGCTCCAGTCCCCTTATCACCTTTGTGGCCCTCCTCTGGATTTGCTCTAACTGTTCCATGCCCTTCTTATATTGGGGGCACCAGAACAATATGCTTTATCACCTTTGTGGCCCTCCTCTGGATTTGCTCTAACTGTTCCATGCCCTTCTTATATTGGGGGCACCAGAACAATATGCTGTATTCCAGATGGGGTCTCACGAGAGCAGAGGGGGGGGGGAGAATCACCTCACTCAACCTACTGGCCACACTTCCTTTGATGCAGCCCAGGAT